TGTATGAGATACATGAAGGACGGCTAAACTAAATGGGGCACTGCAGCTGTCACCTCATTGGTTCTTCCACAAGTGCAGTAAAATCTGATTCTGTCTCACTTAAGTGCTGTTTTATCTGTGAGTGTTAGCTTCAGCTAAGGCTGTGGGTGGGAAAGACTGTTGTCCCCCCACTCTTGCTGCATAAGGTTCTATCATATGATGACAGAAGAATTTAAACTGAAAACTTTAAGATTCTTACATAAGTTAAATACTCTTGGAAATATTATAATATAGATCAAACATTTGGATTTAAGAACCTGCCTTCTTGACAAGTTGAACTGTGCATATATCCTTTCCTGGTCAATGTGCATTCAAGCTATAGTACCCTTACTGAAAGTTTGTGTCTAGCAATTCTTTCATGCTATATTTGTTTAGAGGCCTTAAAAAAAGACAGAGAATACAACAGGAAATCACTTGACACAATGCAAGAGGCTGACACTCTCTCCAGATACTACTTTTCCCTGTGGCAAAGCTGCCAGAAGGGAACATACGTCCACGTCTCTGGTCTTTCTTAGTACAAACCCGTCTAAGGTTTTATACTAGCTCTGTCTGGCATAACAGAGCTGCAAACATGACCAACTCTAGTCAAGTCTTTGTTGGAGGCAGTTCCTTTGTCAGAAGTGTTGGATGCAGGAAAGTCCAAAACTGTTCCACTTCAGAGTGCATTGATCAGAAGCTTCAGTCCCTGCTCTGTGGGTCTCGTGTAATTTTTCACACTTCAGGTTAGACTGAGGGGCAGAAAGTTGAGTGCTGACCTAGGTGGGCTGGTAGAAACCATATTATTTCCATACAGTATTAAGGATTTCTTTTTGGTTTTTTTCCTTCTTTCCCTCTCTCAGACATTTAGATTTAAACCTCCAATGTGCATTACTAAAAAGGATGTCGACTTTGCTGTGGAAGTATTTGACACTGCTTTACAGAGACACATGGAAAGGGCAGCTGCAAAACAGACTTGATTTGTTTCCTTACATGAGATGAACACAGATCCCCTGATAATTGCCTCCCAGACTCATCATTCATCTACACTGCATAAGAAAATCATATTCTGAAGATTAATACTTGTTCAGTATTCTAAGAGCAGTCTGACAGAGACAGTGTTTAATAAAGAATACACTCTAATCTGTTTTGTAATCATATAGCTCAGTCTACAGTGGTGGTGGGCATTAGCTGCACATTGATTCTGACATTAGCATAATGTCAGAAAAAAACCTTATTACTATTAATTTTGTATCAGATGAAGAGGCAGACATACATTCATCTTTTATCTATGAATATCACCTAAAAATCAGTAATTTTCATAGAGTGACAACCCAGTAAAGTTGTTTGGAGGAAGAATGTTGCTTGGAGTACAGCATTTATGGATCCCTTGGGGACTGCAGTGGGGTGCTTGCTGCTGCCCTGGCCACATTCCTTTGTACCACGGCATTCACAGACCGTTCTAATGGATGTTTTCACAGGAGCACCACACACTCCTGAATGGCTGAGCATAGGTGCACAGTGCTGCAGAGCTCACTGGAACGTGACTGGTGCTGCCACTGCCCCTGCAACCAAAACCTCACCATTTACACACAATACATACAAGCACTTGTAAAACACACAAATTATAAAGTTTTATTTACGTAAGAATAAAAGTCAAAAAGTGATACTGCAGGGCTTAGTCTGTGAGATTTCACTTGCATAAGCATAGACAATCTCTGTCTGAGAAATACCCTGTTCAGAAGACAACTGGAGATTTCACAGTTAAAACTATTTACCCTTATTACAACGATACACTGTAATTAGAGCATGAAAAAACACAATGTTTGTATAAAGGTGTAATTTCTAATTACAGTAATTATTTTTATCACATGCCTCTAACCCAGTTATCATCCTCTCTAAAACACACCTTTTTTTTTTCTCCTGCCTCTTTCAGGATTGCACAGCCCCTGCATTAGTCATTTAGCAAAGATATAAATTCTGATTGCTGAACTAAGATGCCATGTTTTGTTCTTACTTAATCACCTTTTTCTTTTTTATAAATCATCAGTGCATTCCTTGCTTTGGTTTAAAAAAATAAAAAAAAACCAAAAACCAACAAAAGGCAGGCATTGTGAACAGTCAGCAGAACATTTACCATTTCACTTTCATTCAAAGTTTAAAAGACCTTGACCCATAAAGGCATCTTGTCAACATGTGGGGGAAAGAGAGGGTTTTGCCACTCTGCATGACAGGTTTAAACTTTAGAACTTAGTTAATGTAAGATCAGTGCTTCTGTAAAACTTCACCATAGGAGCTTCCTAAACAACATACTACACGGAGTACCACTCTCATCATCTACATTAACAGCCGTGTAAAATCCACCACCATGGAAAAATGAGGTGCTTGTTATCCCACCACACAGACATGCATTTAAACAGAGGTGCAATAACAACTCCCGTGTTATTCATTAGAAAAACAACTGAACAAATTCATTTATTCATGTCATTCATTTCTGCCTTCACTTTTCTCAGCAAGGTTCTACTAGTAATTCCCCCCCCCCCCCCAACACCTGGCATGGAGGTACAAAACCAACAGGAATTGTCACAGAATCACAGAATCCCAAGGGTTGGAAGGGACCTCAAGAGATCATCTGGTCCAACCCCCCTGCAAGAGCAGGGTAACCTAGAGTACATCACACAGGAACTTGTCCAGGCGGGCCTTGAATATCTCCAATGTGGGAGACTCCACAACCCCCCTGGGCAACCTGTTCCAGTGCTCTGTCACTCTCACAGTAAAGAAGTTCTTCCTGATGTTAACGTGGAACCTTCTATGCTCCAGTTTACACCCATTGCCCCTTGTCCTATCACTGGATATCACTGAAAAAAGCCTAGCTCCATCATCATGACACCCACCCGTTACATATTTGTAAACACTGATGAGGTCACCCCTCAGTCTCCTCTTCTCCAAGCTAAAGAGACCCAGCTCCTTCAGCCTCTCCTCATAAGGGAGGTGTTCCACTCCCTTAATCATCTTTGTGGCTCTGCGCTGGACTCTTTCAAGCAGTTCCCTGTCCTTCTTGAACTGAGGGGCCCAGAACTGGACACAATATTCCAGATGCGGCCTAACCAAGGCAGAATAGAGGGGGAGGAGAACCTCTCTTGACCTACTAACCACACCCTTTCTAATGCACCCCAGGATGCCATTTGCCCTCTTGGCCACAAGGGCACATTGCTGGCTCATGGTCACCTTCCTATCCACCAGGACCCCCAGGTCCCTTTCCCCTTCGCTACTTTCCAGCAGGTCAGTCCCCAGCCTGTACTGGTACATGGGGTTGTTCTTCCCCAGATCCAGGTCGTTGATGAAAATATTAAACAGCACTGGTCCCAGCACCGACCCCTGAGGGACTCCACTAGTCACAGACCTCCAGCTAGATTCTGAACCATTGACCACAACTCTCTGCCTTCTTCCTTCCAACCAGTTCTTGATCCACCTCACTACCTGATCGTCAAGCCCACACTTCCTTAGCTTATCTATGAGAATGCTGTGGGAGACAGTATCAAATGCCTTACTGAAATCAAGAAAAACCACATCTACTGCTCTACCATCATCCCTCCACCTAGTCACTTCCTCATAGAAGGCTATAAGGTTGGTCAAACATGACTTCCCCCTCATAAAACCATGTTGGCTGTTCTTAATAACCCCCTCATCTTTGATATGCCTAGAAATGGAGTCAAGAATAAGTTGTTCCATCACCTTTCCAGGGATGGAGGTAAGGCTGAGCGGTCTATAACTACCCGGGTCCTCCTTCTTTCCCTTCTTATAGACTGGTGTGACATTTGCCATCCTCCAATCCTCAGGCACCTCTCCCGTTTCCCACGACTTACCAAAGATGATGGAGAGTGGCCTAGCAATGACCTCCGACAGCTCCTCAGCAGCTGTGGGTGCATTCCACCCGGACCAATCGATTTATAGATGTCCAGATTGCATAGCTGATCCCTAACCCAATCCTCATCTACCAAAGCAAACTCCTCCTTTGTCAAAGCCAATTAATCAACTTAGACACCTTACTCTCCCTTTTATCCGCTGTTTATTGTAATTAAGTACTTTGAAAGTACTCCTCTCCTTGGGAAAGGCATAAGAAAAGTCAGAATATTCAGGGTTGGAAAGGACCTGAAGATCATTTAGTTCCAAACCCACTGCCAGGGGCAGGGACACCTCTCACTAAACCATGTCACCCAAGGCTCTGTCCAGCCTTGCCTTGAACACTGCCAGGGATGGAGCATTCACAACTTCCCTGGGAAACCCATTCCAGTGCCTCACCACCCTAACAGGAAAGAATTTCTTCCTTATATCCAATCTAAACTTCCCCTGTTTAAGTTTTAACCCATTACCGCTTGTCCTACCACTACAGTCGCTAATGAAGAGTCCCTCCCCAGCATCCCTATAGGCCCCCTTCAGATACTGGAAGGCTGCTGTGAGGTCTCCACGCAGCTTCTCTTCTCCAGGCTGAACAGCCCCAACTTTCTCAGCCTATCTTCATATGGGAGGTGCTCCAGTCCCCTGATCATCTTCATGGCCTCCTCTGGACTTGTTCCAACAGTTCCATGTCCTTTTTATGTTGAGGACACCAGAACTGCACACAATACTCCAAGTGAGGTCTCACGAGAGCAGAGTAGAAGGGCAGGATCACCTCCTTCGACCTGCTGGTCATGCTCCTTTTGATGCAGCCCAGGATACGGTTGGCTTTCTGGGCTGCAAGTACACACTGAAGCTGGCTCATGTTCAGTTTCTCATTGACCAACACCCCCAAGTCCTTCTCTGCAGGGCTGCTCTGAATCTCTTCTCTGCCCAGCCTGTAGCTGTGCCTGGGATTGCTCTGAACCAGGTGTAGGACCTTGCACTACATTTCGTCTTTGATAGATGACCAAAGCAGCACAGGTCCTTCTGGCTGCTGCACTCACCCTGAGCTAAGCCCTCTTTAAAGAAAAGCAGCAACATGAGTGTTAAAACAATAAACCCTCTGTGTGGGCACTTTATCTGGTCATGTTTCTACAGGAACACAAGGTCAATCTGAATTACTACTTCCCCGACCCCACTGTGAAAGCTGCTGAGACAGCAAGTCAAATGCAGTCATTAAAGAAAGGCTAATGAACCCAAAAACAAGCACAGGTTTCTTCACAAGATATTATTCTTTATGTTTCATCTTCCTTTTTTTTCACCCAAATTAGGACTTGCCTTCTCTATTCAACTCCAGACACAATTAATGTTCACCTCTCTGCTCCAGGACAGCACTCATGTACGATTCTGTAGACTGACACTCTTAGCAAAGTTCTATCTGTTTTTACGTTTCTCTTTTTTGTTTCTGGTGTTTACAGCTCCATTTACAGCTGCTGCTTGTGTGGCTTTTGCATGCCCTGTGGCTTTCAGGTGTTCAAACAGTTTATTTCGGGATGGAAATGCACAGTTGCAGGTGACACAGTGGATAGGAACTTCATTCTGCAATGAGGAAAAAGGAAAAAAAGCTTCACATTTGGATGGAGGATGTAATAAACACAATACACCAATTTGTTGTATGCAGCTTCTCTTGGACAATGAGATGAGAATAAGCCATTTCTATCAGACATTCCGTAACTGATTAACAATTAAATACGTTTGGGTTTTTTTAGATCTCAAGTGTAACTCCTTGAAATTTCAAAGAGTACTACATAGAACTCAGAACAAGAAATAGAAACCTTGCAAATCATTTAAGACAGAGAATACTTTTGCGTTACCTGACTATATACACAATACTTGGGCTCTGATTTAGAGAATTTAGTATGTCTTAGCTGTAGTTATTACAAGATTTTTCTCTTTCTGGGAAACATCAATATTGGGAAAGATACAGATAGTACTATCCCACCACCTGCCTGATGACAACAGTTCTGTTTTCAGGTGTTTAGTTTGTTTGGTTTGAACTGTCTTGGACACAGAGCTTTAGCTTCTCTTAGAATTGAAATACAGTCCACTCTTCTCTGAAAGGACAAAAGCAGTTTGCCTTCTACAAGGAGTAGAAAGCTTCTACTAGGAGTAGAAATTTGTGGGCTGGAGGTGATCAACCAACCAACTAACCCTGTTTGTAGTAATATGACCACCAAGTTTTAAACAGCATAACTAGTTTGACATACAGTTGTTGGGTGCTCTGAAGATGCCTTAGCAGACTTTTTTGCTTCCTTGGCTTTCTTCCCTTTAGGCTTAGTACTGCAGATAAGACAAAGAGAAACCAACATCAGTGCATAGGAACATTCAATATTTAAGAGCTTCTGATGGTTTTCAATCATCAGCATCTCCACTGCTTCCCCCTGTCCTTCCTTCACACAACACAAAGCAAGTGCTTCCAGCAAAAATATAAATAAAGCTATTTAATTTATACAATCAGTTGCCATTCTCAAGATTCAGTCAGGTGATTAATTGGCTACTGTAAGTGATGTGGCAGGGATCTGCAGTCAAATGGCATTTTCAAAGCAGGTCCTAGCACTCCTTGTTAAGTACCATATTTGTTCAGCTCTGATTTAGTGGAGTAGCCCCCAGTTCACATTGGTGGGTAAATCTAGACTGGTTTGAAAGTATCAAACTAGACAGTGACACAGTGACTGCAACACTGCAAGTCAGCACACCTTTTAGCTTCACCTCTTGCTTCATTCACTTGACTGACATCTTCTGTAGCACTTGCATCCTCTGACACAGCACATCTTTGGCCATCATTTACCAACTCCTCTGCTGTGCCACTGTCCTTGTCCACATCGTGCACCTCCTTTTGTTCAACTGTTTCTTCATCAGCACTTTCATCAAGAGAATCCTCATAAGTCTGTCCAAACAGAAGACATGAAAATTAACTACTTTAAGCTCATTAGTGATTATGTTTATAGTATTATACTTATTTACCTCAAACATGGTTGGGTGGGGAGAACAGAAAGCCATGGACCCTCTTAATTTTACTGTGTGTTTTCAATGAGACTGTAAAACCTTAGTTCTCATGTTTTGAAAGATGAAGCCACCTATGATGAAGGGGAGAAACACCAATAAAACAGCCCCTAAAACTAGAGGAGAATGAAGGTAGCTTTTGATTATACACAGGGGTCATTCTGTTTGGGCTGCCGCTTCACATTACAAGTTAGTGTCTTTGCTTATAATCTTGCAAAATGTTAATTATTTAGACTAAAGTTTTCCCTGCTATAAACCTGTGTTAGGACACTTAAGCCAAAATAACTGACCTGACTGAGGCTAGATAAACACACTCCATTTTCCCTCCCTAACATTAGAAACAGTGGCAGCCTTTCCCACATACCAGAAGACAGAGTAGACTCAACACATGCTGTTTGGCAAAAGATCAGCCCTTGAGTACATCTAAGACAAAACAGCTCAGCTCCCAAAAGCAGGATAACAGATTTGACCCAGCACTACATTAATGTAACTAGCACCTCTAGCATCTTTTGCAAAGTCTCAGCTACCTGGAGTTTAAAAAAAAAAAAAAATGGTTAAACTACCCTCAGGAAAAGAAAACAAAACACACAGCAATTCCCAGCTTTCCATAAAGCTTGGCAGAGGCTGAAAGTTACGTTTCCAGAAGAGTCTCAGCACAAGATTACAGCTCATGCTATGCAAGAGTGGCGCCTACTGTCTGAGCTTTGAACTGCAGAAGATCTCATGACCAAACAGATGGAAGACACACACAGTGCCTATATGAAACCTCTAAAGCGAGAACAGGACATGGACTTCAAACTGAGGAGGCAAGAGTTGAGCAGCAGCCTGATGGCCTGGATGGAAACAAGAAGGTCAAGCCAATACTGACTTGGACTGTGCAATACCAGCCAAGAGAACAAGAAACATGCAGTTGCTTGAGAATCTCAGGAATTTTCTAAAGGATGGGGGATAACAATGGTGTGGGAGGGCACAGAAGGTGAACACACAATAGGAGGTTAGAGGGGTTAGGCTGGGGAAGACAGAAGACCATCTCAGGGAAGGATGGAAGAGACAGGACCAAGCAGCTCATGGGGGTAAGGCTAGGATCGAAGTAGTAAGCAGAGAAAAGGAGTAAGAGTAAGGTAAGAAAAGGTAAGGATCAAGCATGAGGAAGGCAGACAAGAGTTTGCTCACTATGGTACTCCTGCCACTCAAGCCTCAAACAGCTTGCAGTTCTCGAATTTCACTGTGCTGTTGGCAGCACAGATCTGCCATATCATGCAGACTCAGATCCTGGAGTACAGCAGATTGGTGTTACTGATGTTTACAATTCAAGTGAAGGTGGAATGGATGTGTTCGTCCCAAAAACTACACTGTCAGTAGGATGCCAACTATATGTTATTCCTCCCTAATTAGAGATCAACAAAACGTAAATTATACCAGCTCTTCAAGTTATGTACAATTTCAAGTATTTCCTTGTTTTTCAAGACAAAAGTTAATTAGGAGATAACAAAACTGGGCTGTAAAGTTTCCTGGATATCATTATACGGCTACATACCACTATTGTTTTCTGTTTCTTCCTCTGCTTCTTCGAGAGTCTGCAAAAATAAGAATTTAAAATTAACTCTTTTCAAAAATAAGCTCCAAAACAAGTACAGCTTCTAAAAAGGCACCAAGTTACATTTTTGCTTATCCTCTGAACCATGGTATCAAGTAGACAGTAGCCACAAATAGAAAGTTACTCATGCTTGAAATTAAAACACCTGGTCTCCTAAACTACTCATGGCATTCTGTAAAACATTTATTCTGTTCAGACTGAACTTGATGATCTTAAGGTCCTTTCCAACCCTAACTATTCTATTCTAACTTGAAGGTACTAGCTAGGTAGCTGGCATTATTCTTTGGCCATTCAAAAAATGAAGTTAGGCAACATACTTCATCAGTTCCGATTTTAAGCACACTCAGTTTCTACGCCAGCATTCAGCTGACAAGAAGTACCAAAAAGAGTACCAAATCACTAAACAGTGGGCCTGTGCAAGTTCCCCTCTGTGAAAAATAACAATCGGTACTTTCCCTTCACATCTAACTTTAAGCAGAGAAAATACTAGACTATTATTCTACAATATTTCAATCCAGTCATACTAATGCAGGCATTTTACTGGAACTCTGACGCTAAGAAATGTTTTAAATTGCAGAATACTGTGAGTTCCAGCACACCTGTAGATCATAAGAAGCTCCCTCTGAGAGTCTCCAAGACTTACTAAATAGTTAGTACATTATAAAATTAAACCCAATTTAAAGTACTTCTGCTTGGGCATGTCTTCTGTTTCTTCCTCTCTGGTATGCATTTCACATGCATCATCCAAAGACACAGGAAATTTCCCTTCTTCTTCTTCCAGTTGCTGTCGTAACAGTGCCACCATCTCTCGATGCTTCTTTGACTTTTCATGATTCTTCATGCTGTGAGGAGTAGCAGATTGTTACTGCAGATGGCTCTGAGCAAACACTGTTATATTTACATATAAATTAATAACAGGCCTATTATCCATCACTACTAAGTATGGAAAACTCTGCCCTGATAATGTCTCTACTGGAAAGACAACACTGACCCTTATGTGAAGTTAATGCATTGTTAAAACCCAACACTCCCGCCCCCAAATCCCCAACCACAAGCACTTACGCTTTCTCAGTTTTTAACAACTTGTCACAAGCAGGGCAGTATAGACCATCAACAAATTCAGCTTCTTCAATTTCATCATTCAGTTTCTCTGAGGAGATCAGTGAGGATCAGAGAGACAAAGTCAGATGAGCCATTTTTGAGTAAGCTGCTCTTAAAGCTCCAGAAAAGTCACACACTGACCCTCAACTTTTTCTGTATTATTGACATGCAGACAGCTCAAGACCACCTCACCAAATCATACATTAGCATAAACTAACAGCTGTAGCTTGATGCCTTCTCACGGAAGGCACCAGAGCATCAGACGCTAGCCTGGCATATCTCAGCTGGAGGCAGGGAGTTGCACTACAATCAGAACTGTGAATCTGCGGCTGTAAGTGCAGTAAGCCAACACTCAGGCTGCAATAATTCAATATAGATCACCCACTCATACCCCATACCTTCGATGCCTTTTGTCTCCTGTTCTTCTAATTCCTCCTCGTCACTTGATCCGTCTCCAAATTCCTTTTCATATTGTGCCTCCATCTCTTGCAACTCCTTTTCCAGATCTGACATAGTTATCCAGCTTTGCTCTTTATATTGCTCAGCCAGCCTTTAAGTAGAATAATACATTAACTTTTGCATTGTGTTCATGAGGTGGTAATTACAGAAATAGTATTATTTAAAATAAAACTTCTTGCTCTCTGGCATTTTAGGAGGAAAGTCCTCAATATAATACAGTGGAGCAAACAAATTGTCTGTAGGGCCTGGAAATCTGAGCAGTTAATCAGTGATGCCAATGGGCACATCTACACAACAAGTAAAAAGGTATTGATGTAGGTTGGTCTTGCTTGAATTTCGGGCAGGAAATGTTATGCAGTATGGCAGTATCAGGCTGACAGCAGGGAAGTCAGGTCAATCCTCAGAGCAGTACAGCTGCTTTTACCTGATGAAAGGTATAAGTAGTACAGTCCCATAAAAGCCACAAGCACATTACTCCTTGGCTCTGCTCTGCAGGAAAGTGTCAGCACAGTTTTCCAAATATACATGTGGCCCAAGATGTCAGTCAGTACACCTCAGTACAGCTGAATTTTGCTCCAGCTGGCTCCTAGACTCCAAATTATCAATTATCAATTACTATTTGTCAGTAAGTGTATCACTCTGCTTCATTCTTCCTTGGGGACAGCAGGGAGAAATATATAATTTTTTTTAATCAATATGCAATTATTTTTAAAGTGCACTCATTAAGAATTTAAGCTTCTTTCATTTGCACACAAAAAGCTCTTCTAGTTGGAAGAATAAACTGTGCTTACATTTCAGAGATCACTTCTTCCTGTTACATAACTTTGGGAAAAATAAAAGCATTAAAAAAAATGCATTTAGTTCAGTGAAAGGGTTCGCTCTAAAGAGTTAAAAGAAAAATTAAAACTAAGCTATATTTTCCCACTTTCTTTTTAGTAGATACTTTCTTCATTAAAGCAGATGAAGCTGACTAAGTCCAAAATGTCACAGTCCTGTTCTTCCTCCCTCATTCTGAAACATACATCCTTTTTTCTTTAAAGGAATAATGGTAACTACTAAACCTTACTTCCCCAGGTAAGTTAAAAGCACATAGATTCTGTGCTACTACAGGCAGTTACCTGGTTATCATTCCCTGGTTATGTTAGATTTCTTTGTGTCAGTACAATGCAGAGACACTCCAGTTTTAAAAAGCTGACTTGAGACCAAAACTAACATACAACATTTCAAGGATGCTCAAAAGAGCAAGTGGAGCTAGCATCAGAATCTAACTGTATATGGTATAATCATGGAAAGTTTCTCCAAGTTTAAAAGAAAAGATTTGTTTCACGTTTACATACTTGGCTTGTTTGAGCTTCTGCTGCCTCCGAAATTCCTCCGATTTTCTAGTTTTTTCTGCATTTTGTTCTTCCACAAGTTTTCTATGAGCTTGTACTCTTTTATCCCTTTTACGAATAAAGGCTACTAGCTGACGGATCAGTTCGTTCCTCTCTTTCCTGGCTTTATCTCTCTTTTTCTTGTTCTCTTTTTCCATAGCTCGTTTCTCCCAGCGGTTTGAGGCTTGTCGTGTGTCATATTCTTCTTTCCAAGCAAAGTTCTTCTGAGTACAGAAACTCTGCCAATATGCATAGAAAGGGTGGACTACCTGTAAGAAACAAACAAAAACTAATCATTTGTGTGGAGGGGAGAGAGGGGAAGAAAGGGCACGACAAAAACCGTATCAAACAGTTCAGGACTTTTGTAGCAGCTTATATCTTCTATATAGGCCACAGTTTTCCCTCAGAGTATACATATATCACATGAAAGTTTAGAGAAAACTCTATTAGCATCCTTAAAATTTCAAACCATGGCAAATCAACAGCCTTGTCTAAACTATTCCAAACTACAACTCCTAAAGAATATCCCCTTCCAGGATTGGATCGTGCTGACATTAATATCCAGTTATTTAGCTATGCTTCTCCTCTCAAACTGAAAAGCACAACCATAATCAGACATGCTGTCCACAAGCAGGCATATGCATGTATTACATAAGAACCCTAATAATAATTTATATTAAATTATATATAATTTAATATAAATTACCAAAGGTCAGTTCCAACAGCAGCCGATGATCAGAACAATAAAACAAATACATGTACATAATGCTACTTCTTCCCTGTATATTCTCTCTGCTTCCAGAGTAAGACAGAAATTGATAGCCCCTGATGAATTTTTCTTTCCTGAATTTAGTATTTCTTTTATTAATCCATGCAAGCTGTTGGCGCACACAACAGCATGGAGACATGACTTGCACAGTTTAACAAGGGCCTATGCCAAGATGCACATACTCTTGTTGTGTTAGCAAATTATATGACCACAGGTTAAAGCGATTCCCTCTAGCTCTCACATTAAAAGAAATGTGATTAAGAGAATCTCACCTTAAAAGAAATTATTTTCTTCCCTTATTTTCCTTCCTTTTACTGTTTATAAGTTAAATTACAAATTAATAAAATGGCATAATAATTATGTTATGGTTTGTTCTCTGTTCCTCTGCAAATAATTACTAACCTTCTGCATTTTGTATATTCAGGAAAAAAGATATGCCTAAACCCTCTCCTTACAATACTTGCCCTATTAAGATGCCTTTTTACTACTTACTTCTATATGCACTACTGCTTATATTTGGAATATCTCACAGAAGTATTTAACCTAATAGTTTAGTATCTCTTCTTCTAATATCTCCTGTTCTCCTCCTGCCATTGGTATTAGAATGGACTATCAACATCTCATTTAATTTCTAATGGTCTACCTACACAGAAACGTTCATGGCAGTTATTAACCAATAACTATTTATATTTAATCCAATAACCTAAGAGAGACTTAGACTTCCCATCTCAGATTTCTGCTTCAGAAGGGGCTATCTTCTGTGCAAAAGGACACGCAGCCATCAACTGATGATAGGGACAATTCTCCCCTCCACCAGCTGTTGAGCTAAGACTTTCCTCCTTCTCAGCAGCTACCTGAAAAATAAGCACATTTCTCCAGAAGCTGTACAGCAGCTCTTGCTGAACTGTTCAGTGGATTTTGTTTTGCCTGCTACTACTGATAACTTTCTGCATCTAACTGAACTACAAGTCTCTTCCCACGAATTCTTGTGATACCACAGGCATAAGAATATCTTCCCTGGCTGCCTGGCATTCATCAAGCCGCTTCTCAAGCTTCTTGTGAATTATCTCAGTAGACCGAGCCAGACAGCATTCACATCACAGGTTCTGAAGCCTCCATAGAGTTTTTGTGGCTCCTTTGTAAAACTCTTTCCTTTTCCTATGATACTACCATTGAGTAGTGAACAATGCAATGCTCAAATCCTCTGACAGTGTAATGTCTTTATCTGAATATACTTTAATAGGGATAATGACCTTCACATTTAACTGTGCTATTTCCCATAAAATACACTATGAATCTTTTTTTCTTTTTTTTTTCCCTTCTTGGTAAAATGACAAACCAAAAAAAAACCCTCAAATTACATGCAACAGCTGATTCTAGGACAAGATTAACAGCACAGGTGTCAAAGCATAAAAGCTCATTTGGGTCCATAATAACATCTATACAATGGCCTCAAAGCAAGCAGTTTCAAGAGAACTCAATTAAAAGACAGATTTTAGCAAAGACACAAATATTCTCTCTGGGAAAGACTACCATTTATTAAGTCATCCTGTAATTTTATTTGACATTCAAACACCCATTCTGACACTTCTTAGTTTGATTTGTAACTGTTTCTAACTACAGCCACGTTTTATACCACTTAAGTGACTTATTTTTAAGGTATGCATCAATTTAAATTTCATACATATTAGTCATTCTACTAAAAGTGACAAGTGTTAAGTAGCAGCCATGAACAGTAACTGAGTATACTGATAAGTGCAGTTATTCACTGGGGAAAGTTCTACTATTTTACTATTTAATTTCAACACAGGAATACTGGTAAACTTAAGAAAGCAAAGAAAAGGAAGTCTGGGAGAATGCAACAAATAGTTGGCAAACCAGATGACAAGAATTCAAGTGTCCCACACACATTTTCTTTTCTTGCTTCCCAGAGGAAAGCATGCAATGTTTTGGAAAATAAATATTACTACAGAATAACTGTAGATGATGAAGAGCATGATTGTGGGAGCTCACACTGCAGGTCAGCCATCACGTCTGCCATTTGCTAAAGGCAGTGTTATGCAGTAAGTACTATGCAGTTTTCCTAAATGAGGCACTATGTATTATTAAAACAAAAAAAATTGTCTCAATGTCCCTTTTAGTAACGTAACTTGCATTGAAACACTGGCAAACTATTCTCATCAGGAAGCAAAGAAAACATTTGTTCGTTTTATAGGCCTTGCACTACTCGTAAGTTTCATTGGCGTAGTTGTTAGCCCTATGAAGTGTTTGTCTTAACAACTTACCCAAAAATCCTGGTTAATAATATAGTCCAACAGGAAATACCTATTTTAGCTCATCTAATTATTAGGAATCGGAACACAAACACTTCCTTTATAGTACTGATCTACAGTACTAGAAAAGACAGCAGATACACGGTTTTGTATTCACCTCAGAGACCAGCAGAAGCCTTTCCTCTGACTTCAGTGTAAGACAAAGTCATGACTTAACTGTGCTACTTTCAGTTCAGATTTACACTTGCTCTTACCGTATCATAGTCGCTTTGGGAATTGCCAAACATAGGGAACTCTTCAATATCTTCCCGGGTCATGTATTCCACCTCTTCTTTTGCAATCTTTTCAAAAACTTCTCGATAGACTGTAAAGAATCCCTGAAATTAAAAATAAAAATGCCACAACTCACTTTGCATAGCCCAGTAATAGGTGTACAAATGCTCGACCACATTAGTGTATATTAAAGCAATACTACTACTCTGCAACAGCCTCTCAAAATCAGGGTAAAGACCTTCTAAGAACTTGCTCTAGATAACGTGACCTTTCTATTAGCAAAGTCCCCATTCTCTCAGACTCTTTTTATTTCCACCAAGAACCTGTATTAAAATCTAACATCTCCCTCTCCCCCCAGAAAAAAAAGTGTTTCAGCATTCTGGAGATGTTGATCAGTTCCTGATTACCCAGGATCAAGCTCGGAGAAAGTTCCAAATATAAAATTCACTATTAAGTATCCTATCTCTATTTAAATTAAGATGTTACTAACTCCTAACACAGTAACACAAAGACAGATAAGGATTTTCACTGGCAGAGGTCTTTCTAATCACCTGAACCTTTTTAAGTTATGATGAGTACCTCAAAATCCAACAGGCAATTCAATTATAGGAAGCACACCTTCCCCATGGACTGCTGTCATATTGCTTTTTTTGGTGGGTTTTTTGTCCTTTTTCAATTTGTTTGTTTGGGTGTTGGGTGTTTTTGTGGTGTTTTGGGTTTTTTTTGTTGTGTGTCATGTCATCCCATCCCCCCCCCCCTCCAGTTTGCAGTATTCTAGCTTGTTGAAAACTACTGAATAAACAGATGGTAGTACAAAGCATTACAATGCTTCCCCATATGACATAAATAATATACACACACTCTGTAGTTGTATGGTATAGTTGGAAATCATGACTAAGTAACTGTTGGACCATAAGCAGGAATTAAAGCTTCCCTAACCATCCAGCATAAGTCTGTCTTGCAAAGACTGTAAACATTATTACTTACCTGGGCTCAACAATTCCACACATAGCTCTTCAATGTGAAACAAATACCAACACTTTTCATTAACTTCAAATTGATTCATTAAAAATTTATTAAGTCATTACCTTCTCATCATCTCCATATCCAGAGTAACAGCTAACAGTGAAGTAGCGCAGCAGATCTAAACTATCATCTTGATAGTCTCCATCAACTCCTCCTCTCAACAAAGCCTCCCTATGATTATCATACCTGGCAAAAAAAATTCACAGTGACATGGACATAAAGACACAGAACATTCCCTAGTGCTGGCAAACTTCAGCAGGACATGGATCACCCCAATTTACAGCTTAGCCCAGTGTTCTTAATTTGTGTGTCATATCCAAAGTCTTCAGAGAGAAAAAAAGACAGGCTAAGTAAATACTCTCTCCTGACTTTTAGCTTACTTAGTATCACTTTAGCTGCACTATCAATAGCAGCAATTTCTTAACGAGTATCTAGCAAACGCGTGCTCATGCAAGATGCCTCAATCAGCTTTAAGAAATGGGAAGGACATTGTTTAAATCATCCCATACTTACACAGAAAAAAACCCCAAAACCCTGAAACATACATTAGCATACAAAAATTGCATTTAAAAATTGCAAAACAGTCCTTCCAGGGAGGACAAACTTAGTACAGGCATTTTTGGTAGATAATCTGGTAGATGCTTTGGCCCATTTGAAAAACAAGATACACAGAACATGTAAAGCAGAGATTTCTTAAGAAGACGTGTGTGAGTTTCAAATTAGGACTGTTACAGAAACACGACACCATGTTGTTATTAAGGGTTACCATCTGCAGCAATCAACAGCACCCTAAACACCTGCATGTACTTAGTGTGGTGCTGGTTCTTCCCCCTTAAGTCTGGCAGGACTGTGACCAGAGGGACACCTATGCCAACAAGCAGGCTGCCTCCTGCTCTGGGGAAGAGAAACAAGAGGCCAACAGTGGCTGTGTCCCCCACAGCCCTCCACAGTGCCCAGCCCAACACTACCATGCAGAACACTTAGGTCAGGGTGTGAGTGAGGCTGTGCTCTGCGCCTCCCCAGTGAGGTGTGCACTGGGGGGGGGGGGGGGCTACGTCTCCCCACCGAGGTGTGCATGGGGGGGGCTGTGCTCCCCCACCGAGGTGTGCATAGGGGGGGGGGGGCTGTGCCTCCCCACCGAGGTGTGCATGGGGGGGGCTGTGCCTCCCCACCGAGGTGTGCATGGGGGGGGGGGGGCTGTGCCTCCCCAAAGAGGTGTGCATGGGGAGGGGGCTGTGCTCTGCGCCTCCCCAGTGAGGTGTGCACTGGGGGGGGGGGGGGCTACGTCTCCCCACCGAGGTGTGCAGGGGGGGGCTGTGCTCCCCACCGAGGTGTGCATAGGGAGGGGGGGGGCTGTGCCTCCCCACCGAGGTGTGCATGGGGGGGCTGTGCCTCCCCACCGAGGTGTGCATGGGGGGGGGCTGTGCCTCCAAGGGGGCTGTACCTCCCCAAAGAGGTGTGCATGGGGAGGGGGCTGTGCCTCCCCAAAGAGGTGTGCATGGGGGGGGCTGTGCCTCCCCACAGAGGTGTTAGCGGGAGGGGGGCTGCGCCTCCCCACCGAGGTGTGCATGGGGGGAGGGGGGCTGCGCCTCCCCATCGAGGTGTGCATGGGAGGGGGCTGCGCCTCCCCATCGAGGTGTGCATGGGAGGGGGCTGTGCCTCCCATCGAGGTGTGCATGGGCAGTCCCGGGGGGCTGTGCCTCCCAAAAGAGGTGTGCATGGGGGGGGGGGCTGTGCTTCCCCACCGAGGTGCACATGGGGAGGGGGGGCTGTGCCTCCCCACCGAAGTGTGCATGGGGGGGGCTGTGCCTCCCCACCGAGGTGTGCATGGGGGGGGGGGGCTGTGCCTCCCCAAAGAGGTGTGCATGGGGGGCTGTGCCTCCCCACAAGGCGTGCATGGGGGGGGCTGTGCCTCCCCATAACGAGGTGTCATTGGGGGGGCTGTGCCTCCCCATCGAGGTGTGCATGCGGAGGGGCTGTGCCTCCCCACCAGGTATCATGGGGAGGGCTGTGCCTCCCCACCGAGGTGTGCATGGGGAGGGCTGTGCCTCCCCACCGAGGCGTGCATGGGGGGGGCTGTGCCTCCCCGTCGAGGTGTGCATGGGGGGGGCTGTGCCTCCCCACCGCGGCGTGCATGGGGGGGGGCTGTGCCTCCCCATCGAGGTGTGCATGGGGGGAGGGGGGCTGTGCCTCCCCGTAGAGGTGTGCATGGGGGGGGCTGTGCCTCCCCACCGAGGCGTACCAGTGGGGAGGGGGGCTGTGCCTCCCCATCGAGGTGTGCATGGGGGGGGCTGTGCCTCCCCACCGAGGTGTGCATGGGGGGGGGGCAGTGCCTCCCCAAAGAGGTGTGCATGGGGAGGGGGCTGTGCCTCCCCATCGAGGTGTGCATGGGGGCAGGGGGGGCTGTGCCTCCCCACCGAGGTGTGCATGGGGGGGGGGGGGTGTGCCTCCCTGGGGTGGCGTGCATGGGGGGGGCTGTGCCTCCCCACCGAGGTGTGCATGGGGCGGGGGGGGCTGTGCCTCCCCACCGAGGTGTGCATGGGGGGGGCTGTGCCTCCCCACCGAGGTGTGCATGGGGAGGTGGCTGTGCCTCCCCATCCAGGTGTGCATGGTGGGGGGGGGGGGCTGTGCCTGCCGAAAGAGGTGTGCATGGGGGGGGGCTGTGCCTCCCCACCGAGGCGTGCATGGGGGGGGGGCTGTGCCTCCCCACCGAGGCGTGCATGGGGGGGGGGGGCTGTGCCTCCCCACCGAGGTGTGCATGGGGCGGGGGGGGCTGTGTCTCCCCTAGGGGCTGCACGGCTCTCAACCCAAGCCTGCCTCAAAGCACTGCTCCTGCCCCAGAGGCACGCCATGCGGCCCAGCGAGAACCAAAGTCCTGCCCCAGACTGAATGAAAGCGGCTCCTCCAAGCCGAAGCACTGCTCACCAGGCTCTTTCCTGGGGGTCGCTGAGGACGTCGTACGCTGCCTGGATTAACTTGAACTGCTCTGCCGCTTCCTCCGCGTTCTCTAGGTTTTTATCTATAAAACAATTCAGCGACACTGTGAACTCAAGGCCCGGCAGCAGTTTACCGACAGCGAATACCCACACGCCGCCCGGACCGTCTCCCGCAGGCCCCGCCACACGACGGCCACAAACGACCGAAGCCACCCGCGAGAAGGGGCCTCTCCCCGCGCAGACAGCGGCAAGCGAGGCCGGGACAGGCCGAGCCCTCCCCTGGGGCCTGCGTGCGAGCATCGCGGCCGTACCCGGGTGCCAGCGCAGCGCCAGCCGGCGGTACGCCCGCTTCAGATCCTCCTCGGCGGCGTCGCGCTTCACTCCCAGCACCTCGTAGTGACACTTCATGGCGGCAGCTCAGTGGGGTGGGAAGCGCCGGCCGGCGCGGACGGGACAGCGGGTAGAGGCGGGGCCGGGGGAGCTGGCATCACAGCACCCGCCCCCACCGGGAGGAGCGAGCGGGCTGGGGTGGGGCCGGGTAGGAGAAGAGGCTGGGAAGGGGGAGGCAGGGGGGGGCAGGGCTCGGAGTGTGTACCCGGGTTATCAGCGGGGGCTGTCTGGTCATCCGGACTGCCGTGGGGGGCTGCGGCCTTACGGTCACCCGTTGTCACATCAAGTGCCCTGTGCTAGCATTTCAGTGAATCACAGAATCAAGACAGGTTGGAAAAGACCTTTAAGATCATTAAGTCCAACCATTTATTACCCCAGGACTGCCCGACTCCACCACTAAACCATGGCACTGAGGGACTTATCACGGATGACACGGCAACAATCTCATCACGGATGGGATTCCATCAGTGCTCTGGGCAGCCTGTTCCAATGCCTGATCACCCTCTCTGTGAAGAAATGTTTCCTAATATCCAATCTAAACCTCCCTTGGTGCAGCTTGATGCTGTTACCTCTTGTCCTACTGCTTGTTACCTGGGAGAAGAGACCGACCACACCTCACTACAACCTCCTTTCAGGCAGTTGTAGAGAGCGATAAGGTCACCTCTGAGCCTTC